ATATATTTCTCAGTTGAGTTAGTTGAGCGACGCCTGTGGAAAAATGACTGCTCGTGCGATTCTCGCTCCAAGGCAAAATTAAAAGACATTTTAATATCTTTTAAAAACCTCTGGCGCCACCAGGCCGGATATCTGAACCTTTAGATGGTCAATAATTTCTGACATCCTCCGCGCCAAATTATTATCGTTTCTTATCTAAGATAATTTGTAATTGCCTGAGATAGTTTAAATGTTGACACTTTAAAGTAATAAAAGTTGGACGTGGTCGCCTTAAGAGGTTTGTAATATTGTCTATATATGCTAATGTTAAGAACAAATAAAACATTATTGCAATACGCAGCTTGTCTGCCTTTTAAATAGATCCTTTGATATTTTGGACAACAAACGTAGAAAAAGGAACCTCACTAGCGACTGTAAAATGCTTCAAGCGGCCTAGGTTGTTTTTGAGTCCCGTGATCATGATATGATAAGAGTGAGCTCTCGCGAGAGTTTTCTTCAACTCTTAGGCCATCCCCATAAAATGTATTGTTTCCCATCGCCCGAACGACCCAATTTTTTCAAAAAGTTAAAAAAAAACAGTTTCTGATTCATTGCCTGCGCCCTTTTCTCGCGTGTTTCCGAGTTTAATTAGCTTTATTTACATCTTTGAAGTCACTCTTACATCTAAATCAGCCCAGTAATGAGGTCACGGGAAGGTAAAATCAAGGCTCGCTTGGAATTATTTATGTATTAATGTGTCAATATTTCGTTTCTTGGCTTTTTTATTTATTTATTTTTTTAACCGACCCACTTTCACGAGAGAGAGGGCGATGGGAAACAAAATATTTTATGGGGATGGCCTTAGCCCGGGCCAAACGAGAGAAAACTTTCGACAACTCTCAAGAAAGAATTCAGCAGGTTCAAATTCGATGAGAGCCCAAGAGAGTCGATGAGTGCATAAGAGTTTCAGGCCAAACGAGAGAGAGCGAGAGTTTGAACTCTCGGTAACTTTCGTCCTCGTTTGGCCCGGACTTAAAGCTGACCAACAACCAGAAATCTTGATTTTACAGGAGATAGAAGAACAATTTATCCAGAAATGTTAGCTCTAGAAATGAAAAAGAAAAACTGTTAAGTATTCCAGTCGACTGCCATATTGCTGTACCAGATATTGCTTTGCCACCAATTCCATTAGCTCTCACAATTGAACTCAATATTCCTTTTAATTTTATCGTATCTGAAAATTTAAAAATAACGCGAAAATATTTTTATGGGGTCACAAATTTTTAGGCACTGTATTGACACGAACATTTGCATAAAGATCTTAAAATGCTGCCAACGTCTAGATATGCGAGAGAGGAAAACTGACAGATTATATAATCAGTATATTATTAAGAGTTAAGCATCAGCTGGTGTTTAGATCAAAGTACTCCAGGTGAAAACAAGCGAAAATTAACTTCGGACCACATGTGTAATTACGTCAACTATTTTCATACATTTTCCTTTATTTCGTCTTCTAAGGGTGGACGTAAGGCGGGACTCTCTTCCCCAGTTTCCCGTCGTTTTATCCTTCGCTCGCTCGCGTTTTCGCGCGCTTTTCGCAAAGTCTTAGAAAAGCCATTTTGGGTAATTGATCATTTTAGTAAGAAATTGAGTGTCGAGAATCAAAGGAACGTTGACAAAAAGCTTGTAAATAGAAAGCATTCATTGAAACAAACTAAAAGATAACAGTTTTGTAAGGGGTCCAAATCCGCTGTGACACCCGCAGCTAGAATTCAAAAAGTCCACTGCCAAAAACAACAGAAAGCGGAAGGTTGACTCATCTTAAAGTTCCAAAAGAAAAGCCCCCTTACAACCACCCCCACAGAAACAAGTTGCTAGCCACAAAGGAAATCCATGTTTATACCGCGGGGATTAAGTAGAGATTTTGATGCGGGGACTATTGACGGTTTCATTAACACTGTTGACTCACAGAGATCAAAACTAAAGCGGTCATCCTTTAAGACATTGCAGTCGGAGTAAGGCGAGAACAAACAAAAAACTCGACCCTAGACTTGCCACAAGTCGACTTCTTTAAGCGACGAAGTCGACCCACATACGACTCCCGGTCCGAAAACCCCGGGCATAATTTGTAAGCAAGCGATTACTGCACCATCCCTGCTCTTATTTTCCAAGATGTCTAGGTGTGGGTCAACCTCGTTGCAATTGAAAAGAGACCGTCTCTTTTCAATCGCTTTTGGCGAGAAGAAGAGAGACCCTGGGAACGAGGTTGGGTGTGGGTGGGTGCACTCGTTTGCACTGAATTCCGAAGTTCGACATATTTGGGTAAATTTACACTGAATTTTAATACCAAAGAATTTGTTTTAGCGGGGTTCGTAATATACATGAATGTCTTTAGAAATGGTCGGTTCCACTAAAGTTGTATCAAAAACCGTGGTCTGTTCCAGGCTTTCAGATAGTGGGGACGAACGAAAAATCCAACGCGAAAATAAAACGTGTGGACATTTCACTCGTTTTTTTTTACTTCGCCCGCCCGCACCGCACAAGCTTTTGTTCAATGCAATGCAAGTAACACGAGTTTAACACGCTGTTTTAACGTGCATTCTTTGTGTCAGCCCCCGTTCCTTTTTCCTTGAATCTGACAGTATTTTCCCTTTCATTGGACTGAATTCAGTACAAGGACCTGCTAAAGCTATTATTACTTGTTTTCATTTTAAATTTAAATTCCGTCGGATTGGTTGGCACGAGTTTGACTGACACCCTCATTGGCTGACAGGCACTTGAATGGGTTTGGATAAAAACTGGTGGTTCTCCAACTATAAACAGGTGGAGCACATCTTGACACAAACAAATTTGCCCAAAGGAAAACAACTTGAACGACTGCAATATGGCGGGATACACTCACAGGTATAACCAGGAGAGCGAAACTTGGCAAACTGAAAAGAGAAACATCGCCGAACGAAGTCGCTACATGTTTAACAACGAGCTCATGAGCGACGTACATTTTCTCGTCGGAAAGACGGAGAAGTTGAAGATTCCGGCGCATAAATACGTTATGGCCATAAGCAGTCCGGTGTTCTACGCTATGTTCTACGGGAAAATGGCCGAGCAAGGGAATGAGATAAAAATCGGAGACTCCGAATCAAACAGTTTTCTAGAACTCCTGCGGTACATTTACTACGACGAGGCCATCATCGATCCGTTGAACGTTTTCGGAATTCTGTACTTGGCAAAGAAATACATCCTCCCATTTTTGGCCGAGAAGTGCGTGGATTTCCTTGAAGAGAATATTGACCATCAAAACGCGTTCACGTTACTCGCTCAATCGCGCTACTTTTGCGAGCCAAAACTGGAAGAAAAATGCTGGGAAATTATCGACAGAGAAACTGCTCGGGTTATGTCTTCCGAGGCCTTTACAGAAATAGACCACGAAACATTACTTGCTGTTTTAACACGTGACACTCTCACGGTACTTGAGGCAGAGCTGTTCAAAGCCATGAAGCGCTGGGCCGAAGCGGAATGTAATCGAAAAATTCTTGCGCCAACACCCGAGAACAAACGGAGCGTGCTGTCAAGCGCGCTGAATTTCATTCGATTCCCCGTCATGACCCTGAAAGAGTTTTCAGAAGACGCTGCGCAGTCCGGGATTCTCACCTCAGAGGAAACGATAAATATATTCTTGTATTTTGGTTCTAAAGACGATTCTAAAGTGAAGAGCTTTTTAACCCACCCCCGCCCAGGCGCGCACAGGGTCTACCGTTGCGCGCGGTTCCCCAGTTACGGACAGGATTGGTTGTGCGAAGGGACGAATGTAGATAGCATTAAATTCACAGTTGATCGAGACATCACTGTACTTGGAGTGGGACTCTACGGCATCAGCAACACAGAGGACAGTTCAAGATCGTTCAGCGTGGATGTGGAACTGCTGGACTCGCACAATGATGTGATGTGTACATACGAAGGGACATTCTTCGCTGATGTGAGCAAGCGCGTGCATGACATTCTGTTTGATGAGCCCGTGATCGTAAGAGGTCATCGGCCGTACATCATACGGGTCCTACTCAAAGGTCCGTCTACTCTGGGGGGTACTGACGGGATGAGAGATGTCGTCACCGAAGGCATAAGGTTTAGATTTGATGTGGATGAAGCCAGCTTCAACGGAACAACAACAGCCGATGGACAAATTCCAGATATCGTGTTCAAAATCTAGAGAGTGGTTTTCCAGAAAACTTTAACACTTTAACTTCTGTTTTACTTCATATATAGCTAGACTACAACTATAGGGCCCGGTTATTCAAAGAACGATTAAACTAATCCAGGATTAGCATGAATATTGATTTCAGTTTTGTAACTTTTCAGTGAAGTTTTCTGTTTATATTTGTTGTCCTTCAGTTTTGACATTGAGTAATCTCACACTCTACAAAACATTAGCATGAAAACTCTTTTATACAAGAGAAATTAAAACCTGAATTGACTTTTAATCCAGGATTAGCGTTAATCGCCTTTCGAACAACCGGGCCAGCTGGTTTTCGGGTGTCTTTTCCAAGTTAACGAAATCCTGAAATACTATTGTGATCTTTAGTTTTCATGTAATGTAATGTATTGTTTGTTTGAAATTGCACAAACACGGTAGAAAACAAATTTAAATTTCGGGTAGATAGTAAAAGAACGAAGAAAATATCAATAAATTTAAATTTTACTTATGGTTACTTTACCTATTGATAAACATGGTAGCATTGGCTCTGTCCAGTCCCTAGGCACCACTTCTGGCCGAGTTCTCGTGCTTAGGGCACAACAATGACAAACTGCCAGATCTATCCAGCACAGCCTTCAACTAAAAAAATAATAAAAATAAACAGTACGGTCTATCTACAAGCCTAGTGGCTTATCAGACCGGTTTCCAAGCATGAAAGCGACTAGGAGTATCGCTACTCCCCCACCCCAGCATTTTTGTCAGGTTGCCCTGACTATTCACCGGCATTTACTCCTGGGTTGGGTGGAGAGAGGCAATGTGAACAACACAACGACCCAGGCCAGCGCTCGAACCAGGACCGTTCATTCCGGAGTCCAACGCGCTAACCATTAGGCCACCGCGCCTCCCACTAGCTGCACTACGCTGATCTTGTTGCTTTTACAGCAGAGAAAAGACGGACGGGAAGGAGATAAGACCAAAAAAGCTGTTTTAAAATACTCTTTCAGATTTCAGTCTTATTTTTTGTTTGTCTTTTGTCTGCGTAAACGACGAAAAAATATGGAATACTGGTACTTTGTTACACTGACCCAGACAGTTAACACGGCAAGGCAGGTAGATACGAGAGGCGATCACATTGGTTCACTAAATTCCATGAAACAACTCCGTCGGAAAAAAAACAACCTTGTTTAACATTGTACCCTAATTGACCCTAATTAATTGAACTGCGTTTCTGTTTCGCACAAGTTATTACCACTGTATGTAAAAAAGAAGCTTGTAACTCGTGCGTAGCAGATGTTTGATTATGGAGCTGTCAAAACTTACAGGTATTGCTAACAATGACGCCACGCGTGATTTCACACGGTTCTTCACTCTTTCGCTGGCGCGAGGGTCCAAAATAACTTCACAACAGATCGGGAGAATCATGGATTTTCCTTTTACACATTGCCTCTGTATTTGATGGCCTTTTGACCCTCTTCGATGTCGAAGTACGTGGTTTTACGGTTATGTTCCTTCGATGGGTGGTGTTTGGACTGATCCTGTTGCCTTTCATAATAAGCGCGCCGCGCTCACCGGTGAAGTTTGAACACAAAATGTCGACGATGTTGTCGTTTGATTTACGCCGTAAAACCAAACATCATCGAGAACGAAACTCTACTGCTATAACACCAACACCTACTACAATAACAGACAGTGATGAAGAGGAAATGGAATTCACTCTTCGGGTATGTTTCGCGACTTTTACGCGCACATAAATTTGCCGAAACCTAAACAGTTTTACACAGGTATAAAATTTTCTTCGATATGCATGGAAAATCATTTGCACGTTTTATTTCGCACGCAGTTGTTTTTAATTATATTAAATTATTTTTCTTCAGAGCACATCCTACGCTTATGTTATTGAGTTGGATCTGGGCACACCTCCACAACGGGTAATGTATTTGTTCATAATAATCAAAATATAATTTCTCCAAAAATTATTACATGTGTAAAGCTGACATTGATTGAAGAAATAGATGTGCGGCTCGGGGGTGCCGGAGCCTCCCCATTCGGCAGGGGGTGATCGTCGGAAATTTTGAAAGGAACCTCTAAAAGGTACCAGAATATCGTTTTGTGGGTGTGGCTCGAATTCATTTTCACCCATAAGAGGTACCAATTCTAAAACAAAACTAGTTCCTATCCTTTTTTAAGGCTAATACCATGAAAGGTGCCAAGATAAGTCTGATGGTGGTCATGTTAGATTGAAACACCCTAAGCTGTTCCAAACAACAAATTTAACCCCTCAAATGTATGACAATCACCCCGTCACTTTCATAATATCCCCACCGGGATGTAAATATACGGGTGAAAGCACTGTTGCTTGTGTGTCGGTAAATACATGTACGAGTCAACTTTATAACGAATCGGAATGTTTGTATACAAGAGGCGTTAGCCGAGTACTGTATGAATTCGAGGTCATTATATAAAAGTTGACTCGTATATGTATTACGTACTCGTCAATGTTTATTTTTTCTCGCATAAAGGCTCGAAAAAACTGACTCGTAAAAATACCCAGCCGTATTACACAATTCAACTTTCCGCTGAATAACCTCTTTCTATTATTGTAACGTTACCTGCTATGGTCTTGTCTATAATTTTATTATGTCTGTTTGTTTTTCAATATTTTGAAAAATATAATTTGGGCACAGTCCACTCTTCACTGAACCGTATCGGATTCAGCAATATAGCCTTATTTCTTGTATTTGCTTATTCCTCTACAGTTAGAATTTCTCATTGATACCGGTTCTTCAAACATGGCTATTGCAGGTGCGTATTTCAAGGATTGAAGTACCGCATTTAATATCTAAAACTGTTTTTCTAGTCAACCGTGTCAAGCTATATTTTGTTTCATAAAAATAAATCTTCATAATTTTCATTGTATAAAGTGCTCGATTCAATTTTTGCAGTACGCATTTTTAACCTTCTCCGTAATGTTTTCTATTATCAATAGTAAAAAAACCTTTTCTCGGTCTTTATGTCCACTGTAGGTCCACACTGTCAGGATGAAATGGATCACAAGTGTGAGATAGAAACGTTTTATTATCCTGAGAAATCAAGTACATCGGTAGATCAACATGTTCCAGTGAGTACTGACAGATGTATTGTAGAGTACCGTGCTCCATACAGACACATTTGAACGCCATTATTTGTTTTGCTTTCTCAAGAAAATCCCTACGTTGAGCTCTAGTAACCTAGCTACTGTGAAGACAGCATTCGTACTGATAATCAGATGCAAAGCCCATACCAATCGTGATTAGCCCACGTGACTTTTCCCGCGCTGTGTGAGTAGTTTTATGCGGAGATGTTTTCCCGCCATAATGTACCACGTCTATCACAACTTCAATTCCAGTTCTTTCCCGCCGCCAAACATAAATGGCATGGGATAAAATAGTTTATAATACAATGCTTTCTGGTAATATCCGTACCGTGAAACATTTCACAAGTAGTGTGTTTCTTGTGTTTTTATTGTTGTTGCTGTTGTTTACCATGGAACATCCCATGAAAACGAGTATTTTCTGTCACACAGATTGAAACAGAGTATGGTAAAGGGGCGTGGTCTGGTGATATTTATCGGGATGTCGTGGCGTTTCCAGGTGACGGTAAGTTGACGACTACTTGCAAATGAAATATTTAAAAATCGTATTGTTTTCTTAGTCAGGTTCATTTGCTGTGGGCGCTTAACTCAGTTCCCACTAAGCATGAAGTGACTAGAGGAATTTGCTATTCCCCTGGATGGGATGCTGGTCCATCGCAGGTAACCCCCCAGCATTTTTGTCAGGTTGTCCTGACAATTTCGCTGGTACCCATTTATGATATTAATACTTCTGGTGCCCAAGAACACAACACAGTGACTCCGGCCAGCGCTCAAACTCGGACCGCTCGATCAGGAGTCCAACGCGCTTACAGGTGCTGTAACTATGTCCACCGCGTTTCCCACAATCAGTGTAAAAATAAGCGAAGTCTGAATTAAACGTATTTATAATTATTTAATGTCCTTGATTTCAGGTCCAAGGACGACAGCAGAGTTTGCAGTTATCAGTCACGAGAAAGATTTCTTCCTCAGTAAGTTCCTGGTGACACCATTACTTCTATTATTCCATGTAAAATAATCTGCATTTATACCTCCACATCAGTTGCTAGTTTGGCTGACTGTCTCTTTCGACATTTTGACGCAGGAAATTCTATAAATGAGGGTATTCTTGGCCTTGCGTATAAAAGTTTAGCGACGGATGACGTGCAAGTAAGTATACAATAAACCATTCCCGAGTTACTTTTGCCTCTGCTTCAAAACGAGTCTTGGTGCAAAACCTTTCATATAAAAACAAGCATTACTCGCAAGGCGCCCAAAAGTGTGACCACCTTTAATTAATTCACATTCTTTCGTGCGTGCAGACTATCCAATCAGAAGCCGAAGAATAGCTATCCTTGACTTCTGATTGGATAGTATACGCGTACGAAAGAATGTGAATTAATTAAAAGTAGTCGCACTTTTGGGCACCTTGCTGTAATACTGGTTAAAGTATTTTCATTTAAACTAATTTTCCTTTGAATGGTTTCGTACCACGATATCTCGGAGGCATTCAGTACGCTTCCTTCAAATCAATATTTGAATACATCACAAAATTTTGAAAAAATGTGACCAGTGTTTAATAAGATTAACCGTAACATCAAACGCTTATTAGAGGGTTTGCGAAGCCGAATCAAAAAGTAAAAAAAAAACTGTTTCAACTAACAGAAAACTGTATATAAATTTGTTCTTGTAGCCATTATACGATCAGCTAGTCCAAGACAATAAAGTTCCAAATGTTTTTACTCTTGGACTGTGTAATGGAATGGTAAGTAAAAAGTAATCACGATGACCAATCGCAACAAACGTAGCTAACACAATGAACCAATCAGAACTTGAGTAGGCGTAACCAGCGCCAAGCGCGGGAAAACGCGTGTGACCAAGTCGCGATTGATTTTCTTTTTGTATATGATTGGCTGAGTAGGTGGCGCGAGTTTTTAAACCAATCACAGAGCGTAGTAAAGCAAAACCAAACCAAAGTATTTCCGCGGTACTTTCGACACTCGATTGAAAAAAATTGCTCTAATACAAGTTAACACATCATTCAGTCATGCTCTGATGCGATTTTAACAATGTATGATTAAAAACCTTATGATATCGCTATTTGAACCAGTTCTTGATTTGTTACTGAAAAGCTACTTTACACCACTCAGGTGATGTCGCAGTTTCCAGCTAGTTTACTTTTGCAATGAATAACCTGGCTAGGTCACGTGATTTTCCTGCGTTGATTAACATCAACTTATTTATTTTTCCACTGAAGGGGAAAATCTGGCTGGACACCCCAGAATCGTTAGCGTATCGCGGACCCATCCACTACACGGGCATAAACCAAGAGACTTGGTACAGCGTCACTATGACAGGAATTGTGAGTGAGTCCACTGCTGTGTGCAATAGATGTGTAACAGCCAGCCTACCTTTTACTGAAAAAGGCGCGAAAATTAAGTATAACTGATCGAGCCAACGGTTTTCGACACGGCTGTTTCTAAGCAACACAACGAGCTGTTCCTGTATTCCTTCGTCCGTCGAACGAGAAGCGAAATTAAGCGAGAGAAAAATAATTATTTAAATCCCAAAGGCAACAACAGCTTGAACTTTGGTCTAACGCGACGCCGACGATAAAGTCGATTTTTAAAAAAGTGAAATGAATTGATCTCGAATACGGCCTCGGGGAACATTATTGAGAGTCTCAGTGAAACAAAACTCACTGTTTCCCTTGGGGCGTGTCATTAAGTGCCAATCGAAACGTGCGCAGTATCTCAGTTATTTTGTTAATCAGCTGATGGAAGATAAATGCCACAG